GAGATCATTCGAAAAGAATTTGATGCTCTGAAACTGTTGGGCAGTTTGAATATTAATTTACTTGACGGTCGGCACATACTGATTCAGTTGTCTCACGATGTCGATTACACTCATATTTTTCTCGGAAAGTTGTCAAGATCGACAACAGTTATATGAAAATTCTGAAGTAGACTGTTGGTTTTAATCCAAAAACGGAGTCCCCTGTCATTCTAGATTGGATAAAATTTCCGGGTTTAAAATTACATATGTTCAACTTGAAATTCTCTATTCCTTAGCAACTGCTTACGATAAGCCCCTCAAGGTTGATAGTCTTACGCTTGCTGTCACCAGACCTTCTGTAGCTTGTGTGTTAGTTGAGAGGGATATTACTCAACCAGCCCCAGATGAGATATGGATTGAAACCACTCGCAACGGGTGTTAGAAAAAGGTTGAAATAGAACCACACCCTCCCTATTGCTCTCATTGCAGTATGTTTGGTCATAGCTCTACTATTTGCTGTCGTTTGCATCCTCGTCTAAGACTGGATATCGCTAAAGATCAGCCACCTATTATCCCTGTTGAGAAGATGCAACCCAATCCTCTTTCCAACACCGCAATTCCTAATGAAGAACAACATACTACAACTACAAATTCAGTTGTGCTTATACCACCCACAGTTATTGAAGAAAACTCACTTACATGCCAAGACACACGAGAGTGCTCCTTTGATCCAATAACAGATCAGTCGGTACAACATGTAGTTGTTTCTAATGTTCATCAACTTGCACATCTACAGCACACTTTAGACCAAGGTCAGGTGAGCCAATCTTCAGAAGAGGAATCGCAGGCTATTCCAGGAGGAAGAAGAAGAATGGAAGTCGACTCCAGCTCGGGAACATATTGGATGATACATTGGTTACTACTGGTAATGGCAATCATCCTACCAATTTATTAGTTTGCTCCTTCCCTAGAACGAGAGGCAGAGGCAAGACCTAATTGGGTCGCTCTCTAGCCACCTGATACTATGTATTTCGGCACGTTTATGTTTTTTCTTCAAGTCTCGAATGTAATTTTCTATATTTTCTAGTTTTGAAATCATTTGTTGTTATTGTGTGAGCAGGGTGTCATGTTTGGGTCCTCTCACCCATTGTATCTGTATCTTTCTTTCTAGTTAATATCATTTTTTAAATAATTTTAATAATTGAAAGAAAAATTAATGAATTTTAATATATTTTAAGTAAAATTTTATTAATTATTTTTTAAACGAATCGGTTCACGAGCTAACGAGTCAAGTCGGGGCTGGCTTAAGCTTGGCATATTAGCTCATCAAGCTCATTTCACGAGCCACTTATCAAGTCGAGCTCGAGCCAGCTCACAAGTCTATGTGTCTTACTTACACCCCATGCAACGAAATAGCGTGATGTTTGATAAAGCGGAATCTGAAGGGACTTTAATCATATGTTTTATTGCTCAAAATGTAGGTGATCATTTCATCAACTTCAAAAGTACTTGATACCCCAACATGAACAGCACCACCTAAGCTTTCGCTCCAAAAGAAACAAAGAGATTTCCACTTTTTTTTCTTCTCGAATATTGTAAGGTTACTTCTCTAAAGTTTGTGTAGCCGTTCTTTACAAAGAATCAGTGTCTAGCCTAAGGGCGATTTTATTTTTGTAAGCATAAGAGCAAGTTAGTGTTTTATTATTATTGTGCGTGGGTATAAATAGGTTTATTATGTTTAGGGTTAGGTTTATGCAGTAGATTGAGTTGTAATATTAGGTTTAGGATTTTGGAGAAATGGTCTACCTCTCGAATTGTAGGTTTTCATCTTTGTATCCTTGCTGACTTGTTTGGATTATTGAAAAAAAAAAACATGTTTGACCGAATTTTTATGGAAAATTATTTTTACGATAAATCACAATAATTTGGTATCCGAGCAACGATTTCTAGACGATCATCAAGAAATTGTTCTCGGTGTGAGAAATAATCATTGTCTGTGTGAGAACTAGTTGAGAAGCGTTGATGGGATCCCTTCTAGGCTAAAACCTGTGATACAGTTGCGATCAGAGCTTGCTGGGAAAAACAACGAGAAGAATAATAGCGAACAGAAACTCGAAGCTCCCATCTTCCGCCTTCTCCTACACCGTCTTCGCATACAGTCAGGTGCAAGGTGATGAAGGGATTGCAGCTTATAGTGCCAATAGAAACGTTGAAATCAAAGCCATCATAAAAGTGATGAGTGTAGCTTTACAGTGATGATACTCATACACGAAGGCCGATCGCAGCTTAAAGTGCCAATAACACCGTCAAGATCCCCTCCTGCTACGTGGACGAGATACAGTCACGATTAGAGCTCCAAGAAAATCCCCCTTGCACGCGATAGGCTCAATACAGTTTGATCCAGCTATCTGGCAAGCAACGTTGAGATCACGCAAGCAATGTTGAGGTTGCATGGAAGCAACATCAGCACGTCGATTGTTGAGATGTAGTCGTGTGATTGTCGGGAAGATACAAATGCTTGCAGTAGCGATTCCACTTATCTAGAAAGCCAACGACGGGCCTTAGCGACACAGTATCGATTCGAGCTAGTTGGGGAGCGAACTACGCGTTGGCGGCCTATAAAAGTTTCGTCTTTGTGATTGAAAATCTTCTTGAGAGTAATGGCGGCCAAGAAAGCAGAGGATTGGGAGAATAAATTGGAGGAAGAGATGAGTCCAATTAGATCCGGGGTGGTTGAAAGGTTCTCTACGATCTAAGGAATGTTTTCCTCCATGGAAAATCGATTTGAGGGTCGATTCAAGAGCTAAAAGAAGATACTGATGAAAGCTTCTTAAGATGCAAGCCAAGACCCCGCCTGCGATTCAATTTGTAAACCATAACCAAGGGGTGACTGGAGAAACCTTGACTAAATTGAAAGGAAAAGATATTGAACAAGAGGAATACGACGAGAAAATCATCCCAACGCTCTGATCGGGGGTGGATTAGAATTTTTTTATGGAGGTGTTTGACTTGAAATATAGAGAAGAAGTTATGCAAGCGATATGGAGGGGCACAAAAAAGAAAGCAGAGAAGCGAGAATGAGATATAGCCATGATCAAAGGAAGGAGTCATACGCTCGTTACATGGAGGAAAACAATTGAGGGAGAAGAAGTTGGGGTGAAGTCGCTAGGGTTAAGAGATTGAATATGCCGATCTTTGAGAGGAAAGACGCACATTGGAGGGTGTATCGGGTGGAGCAATATTTCACGGTGAATGAACTAGATGGGGAGAAGAAACTCATGGCGGAGACGTCATGTTTGGAGGGGAGAGCCCTAGTCTAATTTCAGAGGAGGGATGATAGATACCCAATCCGTTCGTGGTAGGAATTTAAAGATTATTTTATAGAACGTTTTCAAGTCATTCAAAAAGGAGACAAATTATGTCTTAACTCAGAAGGGGATTGTCATGCAATAAAAAGAGGGCTCGAGCTATTGTCAGGACGAGTGAGTGTGGATTTATAAAAACGGATTGGAGAGAAATTTCATGAAGGGCCTAAAGCCCGACATACGAGGAGCACTCCAACTAAAATTACAGTTCATAAACTCAACTCGCTAACAAGCTCGTGAGTTGAGCTTATTGAGTTGTGAGCTCAAGCTTTAGCTAAAATTACAGTTCATATACTATATGAGTTCAATTTCAAGCTTGATGAGACTAGAATCGATGTCTCATAAACCAACAATATTACATCTAATTTCCTAAATCTAGTTTCTTTGGACATTGAATTTAAATTGTTTAATCCTATCAATTATTCTTCTTCAAATATAGTTAGTCCATCGATGACTTCTTCAAGAAGCTCCAATTGTGACTTCCCAACTAGTCCCGTCGAAGCATTCATGCCTTTACCAATGTTTCATTGTGAATCTCATGTCGCCGTCAAAAGATTCACAAACAAGTCTTATTGTGAGCCTCCTCGTCGTTGTCAATGCCATCTCTAATGAGTTACAATCACAATTTCCTCACTTCTCCCATCAATTTCCATTAATGATATCCCCAATGAGCTCCCATCAATGACAACAAACTCCCATTCTAAGAATATTTAAGATTTTGGCTAGAGTTCATAAGTCAAGCTTGAGCAAACTATTATTCTAACGAGTCAATCCCGAGTACTCTATATGAGCACGATTTGAGCTAGAGCTCAAGTTCAAGTCTACCATCAGGGTAGAAGAACAAATCAGGCTAGTCGTGACTCAAGCTCAACTTAACTCATACACACGACTAACTTAAAATCATTTATCATTTTCTACTATCTCTATCTCTCTCTTCTCTCCTTCATTGCTAGACAAACAAATTCGCTCACATATTCAGAATAATCACTAATCCACCTAATATTACCATTTATAGATTAAGCGAGTTAAAAAGAGCGACACTCAAAAAGACTAGATGACTATTACAAAATCTAAGATAAAAATAAAGGATATGTTACCTAAAAGTGGACCTTTTTTAGAGAGGTTGATAACATATTGACAGTTATGTGAGGCTAGATTTTAAATTGATAGACAACAAATCACTCAACAGAAGGACCTGCTTGACTATGAAGATTTTGACTCAATGGTCTTGATCCACTCGATATTCTCCAATCGTCTCAGCTTTTGGGAATCTTCTAGATGGTGACTTGATTCCCCTAATCATCTTTTTACACTGGTGATATTGGAGTAGTGCAATGTAATGGAGCTACTATAAATGTCCTTAATTGGAGAAGATGATGATACTTGTAACACAGTCCCAAATAAATAGACTTTCACTATGAATACAGCAATATGCGTTGAAAAAAAGTTCAGATAAAAATAGAGGTAGGGAGGACTTCCGACTTCATTGCATTAGCCGGCGATAAACAACTCATCAATCGCCCATCTTCTCGTTAGAAATTGAGAAAATAGATAGAATGTTAAACATTAAGCAAGTTTTACCATAGTAAGGTGTTATTATGTTTTTCATGCATTAAAAAGCTGAACAAGTAGCTCGATAAATTTACAGCAGCTTGCCTGAACAAAGATTGCGTCCATCAGCTCGCAATAATGCGTATCCCCTTTATTTCGCGCTAAAAATTGACCGCATGCACTAATCTGCTCATCAAACAGAAATCACAATAAAGTCCCGAAATTTTACACTTTTGCTGATAAACAAACTTCCCTGCACTGAAGTAAGTGATCAGAGAATACTTTGCCAGAAGCAGGTGAATTTCCTTACCAATCTAACAGCAGACAATCTTACTAATTCCTCGTCATCACGTAGAAATGATGCAGCAAAATCATGGAAGCATTTCACGTACTGAACAGAATCAGTTGTCCGGCACACTGAAGCAAGGCCATCAACTGCTTTTGCCCTTATCAGTGGATGGAGATCCTCAGCGAACCCTAGCAGCACTTGAATCATAACATGCGGTTTAATAACCACGATATTTCTCATATTCCCTTCCAAACAAGAAACTATCAACTTTACAAGCATCGACCTGACAGAGAGAAGCGGGCTCGAAGCAAGAGAAAGCACTAGAACTTCGTCCAGTAAAAAGCCATCCACAGAAGCGAGGGCAGAAAGCGCATCTGCCGCAAGCTTTTCGTTGCCATCAAGAAAAGGTCGAAGAAGTTCGATGATTGAGGGTGCGAAGGTTCCGTAGAGAGGCGCAGCGTCGCCTAAGAACTTAACAACGCAGCGGGAGAAGGTGAAATCGGCGTTGCCAGGGTAAAGAAAACGGCAGAGAGCGTCAATGGCCGCGCGGAGAGTAGAGTCGGAGGAATTAGGGTTGGCGAATAGGGCTCTCGCAGAGGCTAGGGTTCGGAGGCGGGTTTGTGGGTTGCAGGGATCGTTAATGGGGAGAGTAAACCACTCAAGAAGACGAGTCTCCATGATTCGTTGAAGAGATTGATCGTCTAAACTAAAAATGTATAGGTAAAATATGAATTTAACCAGAGGGCGGGAGGGAGGAACAGCTCAACAGGGATGCTTAAGGGCCAGTTTGGGGCGCGGGGCGGCACCAAATCTCACTCCATTTTTTTTATTTTTCTGTTTGCTCCAATGCTTCGGGCTTTGGTGGGAAAAACCCGTTGAATGCCGGTGCGGGTTCGGCCCAACGGCCCGTATTTCCTATTAGTTAGGCCCCTCATTTTTTATTGTCCTACCCCCATATCTTAAGCGAGCTTTCTCCTCACTTTTCTTGTGACCACGTCGGCATCTCCCTTTCCCTCTCGAGACTGCGTCGGCATCTCCCTCCCCCTCATGTTGATTTCTTTCGCTTGAGCCATTTCTCTGTGTTGGATCTGACATGTTGGGTTTTCTTCAGTTGTGTGAATCTTTGTTAAAGATCTTCTATTATAATTGTCTGTTACAGCTCTATTGTTCCCTGTGGATTGAGATAAATAATTGCGTATGTATAACGTACGCAGAGCTGCGTACGTCGGTAGGTTACAGGGAGAGTATTGGAGGGCTATATATGCGTTATATTTCATGTAATCTCTCTGTGACTTAACTGTAACTTACAAATATATGAAAGCAGAAGCGTAGAGCATACTAGTTACAGGTAGGTTATAGGGGATATAACACGGATATAACCCCTCAATACCCTCTCTGTAACCTAACGACGTACGCAGCTCTGCGTACGTTAGACGTATGCAAATATTTCTCATGGATTGGTGGGTTTTCTTAAGTAGTTTGAGCTTTGGATTTTCATGAATTAAGCATTTTTTTTTTCTGGGTTACCTGAGAATTAACACCCTAAGACATCCTTTTGCTTTCACCATTATTTGGCATATTGTCCATCCAATTTTCATTATGGTTTTTTTTGTAAAGGTAGGCAAGATAATGTTCAAGGCAATAAAAATTTATGTCATAAAGCAGCACAATGGTATCAATAGATAAAAAACTCTATGTCGGTTATCCATCAAAAGTACCATAATTTCAAAGTTAATGTGAAAGTATTTTATGTTATTTGTCTATATATGAAAGTTTAGGTGTGAGATACGTAGAATACATAAGAGTAGCGGTCATTGAACGAATTGATTTTCATCGATCAACATCATTCAGTTGATCTTCATTTCTAATTGTTGTTCAGATCTTTGTTGATGATATTCGTTTTTGATGATTCGTTTTGGCTCTATTGTATCGTGTGGATTGTTGGGTTTACTTCGGACGTTTGAGTTGTGTATTTTCAAGAGCTACGCATTTTATTTATTTTTGGGTTGCCAGAGCATTAACACCCCAAATCATATCGTCCATCCAATATTCAATTTATTTTTGGGTTGCCAGAGCATTAACACCCCAAGTTATCCTTATGCTTTCACCATTATTCGGCATATCGTCCATCCAATATTCGCCAATATTCATTATGAACTTTCTTAAAGAAAGGCAAGATAATGTTCAAGCCAGTATAAATTCATGTCATAGCGCGGCACAATGGCACCAATAGATGGAAAGCTTCATGTTGGTTGTCCATCAAAAGTATCAATATTTCAAAGTTAATGTGAAAGTATGTTGTGTTATTTGTCTATATATGAAAGCTCAAAGTGAGAGATATATAGAATACATAAAAGTTTTGTTATATGCACGTAAACGCCCCAAAATTTTGTGATATGTTGTAGAGTAATGCTTATGTTATTTTTCATAATTATATATTTTTTTGGTTTTAGAAGTTGAGAAAGATTGATTAACAAGTTTTCGAGAGGTCAGAAGCTTTTGTAGTTTGACAATAACTTACTTTTGTATGGTAAAGATGGAAGTGCTTTCATGCATCGGCCATTTAGGCCTTGTTTGGGGGCTTTGTTGGGGGGGGGGGGGGGGCTGCGGCGCTAGCCGTAACCCCGGGAAAAAAAAATCTTTTGGATGATGGCTACGCGGCGACGCCCCGCCGAAGTTGGGAGAAAGTGAGCCGCGAGATCAACCCCGCGGCTTCCACGTTCTCCCCGTTGCTATTACCCTTTGCTCCTAAAATATTTTTTTCTGCCCAAGATTGCGACTATATTTGTGCGAGTTTTCTCTTTGTGACTGTTGTGATATATACCAGTTGTTGTGGTATATATATTGAAATATTCCACGTTCTCCCCGTTGCTATTACCCTTTGCTCCAAAAATATTTTTTTCTGCCCAAGATTGCGACTCTGTTTGTGCGAGTTTTCTCTTTGCGACTGCTGTGATATATACCAGTTGTGTGGTATATATATTGAAATAAAATAAGAGAACGATCGACGAAGCGAAAAATAGAATGAGAAATTCACGCCATAAAACAGTAACACAGCAGAACTCACAGATTTAGGTAATTCGACAAATTGTCTACGTCCACGAAGTTAATTATCTAGGACTCTCAATGGATTTTTATATGATAAATATTGAAAATTTAAATTCAAAATTATCGAGGGCCTCAATTTTAGCAAGTTTTTTGTTAAACTGACTGTTTCGACAAGACGAACCCGATGATACCAAAATTGGTGCAATCCAAGTCCAAGCAAGTTTAGATCAAGCTATTAAAACTTATCTGGATGCTTCAAATCGTTAATTGAATGGTTTAATGAACTTCAAATTTGACGCATTTATGATCAAATAGAGTGTATCAATGAGATAAATCTAATGAGCTTAAGTGACCCGACCCGCAATTACGCAGTAATTTAGCTTCCAAAATATGAACAAAAACTTTAAAGACCCCAGTATCGATCTCCCACAAAAGCGAGGTAAGCAATCTCTTAGGTTAATTCTAGTCTACTACTATCAGGCCTTAGATTGGAGTTTTTAAAAAAGTTTGGTTTTTCTAAATTCACTAATTTACTTTTAAAATTAAAATTAAATAAAAACCTAATTTACAGAGGTTGGATAAATTTTGGAAAATTTTTATACAATTAAAATCCTTTCCCTCTAGTGATGAGATCGTAACTAGTGTAGGGATCAAATATTTAAAGATTTAAATGTAGTTTTGTGACAAATAGGAGCATATACCTATTCTTTACCCTTTGGTTCACGCATAAAGAACATTGACTAATCTCACGCTTGTTTATTGAATCTGCGGCTAGGCTGGGGGGGTAACGGCTCTCACCTTTGGGCTCCCACCTTCCCCT